TCTCTGTGTAACTCTGCCTTTCAAATAAATAAATAAATCTTTAAAAATATTTATTCATTGAAAAGCATATTTTTACAGTCAGTGATCTTCCATCTGTTGGTTCACTCCCCAAAATGTCTGCTATGCATAGAGTGGGCCAGGATGAAGCAAGGAGCTTCATCTGGTTCTCCCACGTGGTTGGCAGAAGTCAATATACTTGGGCTATAAACAATCATCGATTCTCAAAATTTCTATTTCATTCCAATACATTACATTTCAGGCATTATATTGTTACCTCAGATCAGGAGAAATATATGATATCTGTCTTTTTGGGACTGGCTTATTTCACTCAGCATAATGATTTCCAGTTGCATCCATTTCATTGCAAAAGACAGGATTTCATTTTTTTAACAGCTGAGTGATTCTCCATAGTGTATATATGCCATAATTTCTTTATCCAGTCAACAGTTGATGGACATCTATGTTGATTCTATATCTTTGCCATTGTGAATTGTGCTGCAGTGAACATGGGGGTACAGTTAACTCTTTCATATACTGATTTCTTGTTGGTTTGGGTAAATTCCAAGGACTGAGATGGCTGGATCATTTGGTAGGTTTATATTCAGATTTCAGATGTATCTCCATACTGTGTTCCACAGTGGTTGCATCAGTTTACATTTGTATCAACAGTGGATCAGTGTACCTTTTTCCATACATCCTCTCCAGCGTTTGTCATTTGTTGATTTCTGTACAAGAGCCATTCTAACTGGAATGAGGTGAAACCTTATTGTGGTTTTGATTTCATTTTCCTGATGGCTAGTGATCCTAAGCATTTTCGCAAGTGTCTGTTGGCCATTTGAATTTTCTCTCTTGAAAAATGCGTGTTCGGATACTTTGCCTATTTCATAACTGTACTGTTTGTTAAATTTCTTGAGCTCTTTATAGATTCTGGATATTAACCCTTCATCAGGTGTGTACTTTACAAATATTTTATCCCATTCTATCAGTTGCCTCTTTACTTTGCTTCTGAGGTTGATGTAATCCCATTTGTTCATTTTGGTTCTGAGTGCCTGTGCTTCTGAGGTCTTTTCTAAGAAGTCTTTGCCTATGCCAGTGTCTTGCATAGTTTCCCCAATGTTCTCTCGTGATTTGTTGGTATCAAGTTGTAGATTTAGGTCTTTGATCCATTTTTAGTGGATTTGTGTAAGGTATAAGGTAGGAGTCCAGTTTCATACTTATGCACATGACCCAGATTCCCCAGTACTGTTTGGTAGAGAGACTGTCCTTGCTCCAGGGACTGATTTTAGCTCCTTTGTCAAGGACAAGTTGGTTGTAGATGCATAGATTGATTTCTGGAGTTTCTGTTGTGTTCCATTGGTCTACACATCTGTTTTTGTGCCAGTACCACGTTATTTTGATTACAACTGCCCTTTAGTATGTCTTCAAATCAGGTATTGCGATGCATCTGGCTTTGTTTTTGTTGTATAATATTGTTTTAGCTATTCAGGGTCTATTGTGTTTCCATATCAATTTTAGCATCATTTTTTCTAGATCTGCAAAGAATGTCATTGATATTTTGATTGGGATTGCACCGAATCTGTAAATTGCTTTTGGTAGTATGGGCATTTTGATGATGTTGATTCTTCCAATCTATGAACTTGGAAGATTTTTGCATTTTTTAATATCTTCTATTTCTTTTGTGAATGTTTTATAATTTGCATCATAGAGATTTTTAACATCTTGGTTAAATTTATTCCAATGTATTTCATTCTTTTTGGAGCTTTTGAGAATGGGACTAATCTTAAAAGTTCTTTCTCCCCCATGACATTGTGTATGCAAAGAATATTGAGCACCAGCTCTGGAGTGAGGTAAGACCAGTCTGCAACAGCCTAAGCCACTGGCAATAAAGCTGCAGGAAGAGCCTAGTGGGAATCCAGCTTGGAGCCTTGTGGGGGCCAGTGTACTACCAAACTACAGAGGAAAAAAAGCGGGGGGGGGGGGGCTCATTTCACTTACTGACCACCCTTAAACCAGCATCCTGTAACAAACCAGTAGATGGCCAGTGACATTTTGGACATATATAACTGTTGATCCAGCTGGTGTCTGTGCACCCAGCAATCAGTCATGCAGGGATTCCTGATTCTGGCTGGGAGAATTGACAAGGGGCTGGGTGATTGTGACTGTGAAAGGCTTGTGTGCTGAGACTGTGAAAACACTGGGTGTGTGGGAGGGCTCAGGATGTGGCTGGGACTTTGGGCAGTAATGTGGAAGGCTCTACATGCTCAGGGCACCCTGATTCCCTCGAGAGGGTCATTGCTGTGAAATTTGGGCTTACACCAAGGACAGCAGAGATACTTAGTGTGGTTCTTATAGCAGTGTGGATGAATATTATACCCACTGGGGCAAGCACCCTGGCACTGGTCTCCTTTGAGAAGGTGAGGTGAGCTAAAAGTGTATCAACAGATCAGAACAAGATTCCTTTCTGAAAGAAAAAAAGATTTACCATGGGGCCAGCCCTGTGGCATAGCAGGTGAAGCTACCACCTGCAGTGCCGGCATGCCGTGTGGGTGCTGCTTCAAGTATTAGCTGTCCCACTTCTGATCGGTCTCTTTGCTGTGCCCTGGGAAAGCAGCAGCAGATGTCTCAAGTCCTTGGACTCCTGCGCCCATGTGGGAGACCTGGGAGAAGCTCCTGGCTCTTGGCTTCAGATCTGCACAGTTCTGGCCATTGCGGCCAACTAGAGAGTGAACCAGTGGATGGAAGACCTCTCTGTCTCCCTCTCTGCCTCTCCTTCTCTGTGTAACTCTGAATAAATTTCTGGAAAGAAATGAACATGACAACACAACATATCAAAACTTATGGGATATAGCAAAAGCAGTGTTAAGAGGAAGTTTATAGCAATAGGTGCCTACATCAAGAAATTGGAGATTTGAAAATATACATATAGAGAGGGAGAGACACAGAGTGATCTTTCCATATGCTGGTTAACTCCCCATATGGCTGTAATGGTCAGGGCTGGAACAGGCTGAAATCAGGATCCAAGAGCTTTATCTGGGTCTCCCACATTGGTAGCATTTACTAGCAGCAGCTGGATCAAAAACAGAACATGAACCAGTACCTATATGGGGTGCTTTCATTGCAGGTGGCAGCTTTGCATGCTATGGGACAATGCTGGCCCTATTTTATGGAAACTTCTACATGAGATTTTGAAGTTGTGTTAATTGTATTTTGCATATAATTCAAGCTTCTCCCTTACTCACCAGTATGTATCAGCATTTGATGTAGGACAAATCATAAAGCACAATGGCTTAACAAATAGCCATTTGATTTGTAATTCTGACTCAGTATTATAGGATAGGCTCAGCGGGGCAGTTCTTATGATCAGTCTGGGATCAGAAATGAGGGATTAGTCATCTGATGCACTGATTTAGGCCATGCCTTAGAGATGGCTTCACTTAAATGTCTGGTGATTTGTGGCAAGTTTTGGCTAGATTCTATTTCTTCAACAGGCAGACGCCATGGTTTTCTAGAAGATAACTGTGTCAAATAAGGAATATCTGAGAAGGGAAATACTTTACATACTACATATTTTACATTTCTGTCACATTTACTAATACCTCATGTGGTAAAGCAAGTGAAATCCAGGGTCTTGTGTGAAGGGATGGATACAGGGAATGGTGCTATTTGGAATCATTACTTGAAAAGTGTACTATATTAAATATACATTTTATATATATATATATATATATATATTTTTTTTTTGTTGTTGTTCCAGTGCAATTTTGTCCAAGAATGTGAAACTATAAGTCACATACTTTCTTTTTTATTTTATTTATTTATTTATTTTTGACAGGCAGAGTGGACAGTGAGAGAGAGAGACAGAGAGAAAGGTCTTCCTTTGCCGTTGGTTCACCCCCCAATGGCCACTGTGGCCGGCGTGCTGCAGCCAGCGTACCGCGCTGATCCAAAGCCAGGAGCCAGGTGCTTCTCTTGGTCTCCCATGTGGGTGCAGGGCCAAAGGACTTGGGCCATCCTCCACTGCACTCCTGGGCCACAGCAGAGAGCTGGTCTGGAAGAGGGACAACTGGGCTAGAATCCTGTGCCCCAACCGGGACTAGAACCTGGTGTGCCAGTGCTGCAGGTGGAGGATTAGCCTGTTGAGCTGCGGCGCTGGCCAAAGTCACATACTTTCTATAGAATTCAGGTCTAAAAAAATAAGTGTTCTAAGTGTACATACAAATATGGAATCCTATGTGGTACTTTGCATTAAGAGAGAAATAGTGAATCCAAAATAACTTACTTTAGTATAAATTTTAGTGGCAACATAATGTTTATCTCTTTGATAGTCTCATTTATTTGAACAATCACCCTTAAATTTTTATTTTTTTTACTGTTATCATTTTACATATTTGTAGACAATGCTTTCTTTTTATTTTTTATTTTTTTTAATTTTTTTGACAGGCAGAGTGGACAGTGAGAGAGAGAGAGAGAGAGAAAGGTCTTCCTTTTGCCGTTGGTTCACCATCCAATGGCCACCGAGGCCGGCGCTGTGGCCGGCGCACCGCGCTGATCCGATGGCAGGAGCCAGGTACTTATCCTGGTCTCCCATGGGGTGCAGGGCCCAAGGACTTGGGCCATCCTCCACTGCACTCCCTGGCCACAGCAGAGAGCTGGCCTGGAAGAGGGGCAACTGGGACAGAATCCGGCTCCCCGACTGGGACTAGAACCCAGTGTGCCGGCGTCGCAAGGCAGAGGATTAGCCTAGTGAGCCGTGGCGCCGGCCCGACACTGCTTTCTTAAACCAGTGATAACTTTTTTTTTTTTTAATCTCTGGTGCCTTTCCTATATATTTCCATGTTTAAAGGTTTATTCTTCCATAGTGAAGCTGATGTTTTCTCGGTTAATATATTATTTATTACTTTTTTTCATTATTATCATATTCTTTTTTTCTTTCATACTTCAATGTAGCAGCAAACCAGAAAAGATTTCTTTTAATCCCTTCTATTCATCTTCTCTTCCAGGTATGAGTCTGGGCACCTCCACATATTTCCAAGAGCAGAGAAAATTAATACATTACCTGTAAGTGGTTTCTTGATTATTCTCCAGCTTGTTGCCAGTTTTCCTTTTATATTTGTAATAGTTTATTAATTGAACTGGAAGAATAGACAAAAATATATTTTCAGGGAATATACAGAAACACGATGAATGATAAGTTTGGCATGATTATGAAACATTGCTCTCATCCAAGGTAATGCAGTTTGTTCTTGTCTTTCTGTTGCCATGGCAAAATATATATTTGTTACATGTTTTGAGTTGAAACTTAGAGTACAGTATGCTAAATTTTTGGGGTCATGATATTTGAAATAGTATTGTCATATACATGATGCAGTGAGCAGTGTTTTAGTGCTACCCTGAAATAAACGCTTAGCATTCTACAAGGTTAAGACTTGTCTAGTACTAAAACACAAATCAGCTAAGTTTGTTTTTGAATTGTTAGAGTAATGTAGTCCTTAATAGTTTTGTGGAGCTGAACTTGATTCAGGGTTAGGATCAGGAATGTGTGGGGAAAAGAATCTACTGCAGGTTCTTTTATTTTTTTAAGGTTTACTTATTTATTTGAAAGGCAAAATTACAGAGATTTGGAGAGACATGGAGACAGAAAGAGATATCTTATACATACTGGTTCATTCCCCAAATGGCATATTAGGGTTGAGCTAGAATGGAAGTGGAGCAGCAAGGATTCAAATCCTCTGTTCACACAGAATGCCAGCAATGTGCATGGAGTCTTAACCTGCTGCACCATAATGCTGGTGCCTATTGCAAGTTCTTAAATCTGTAGGCATTTCTCTCAGTCACAAATGCAGATTGTACTGCAGACTTTCCCAGGTTCTGGTTTTGGGTAAATAATTCCATTGTTTTAACTTTAATTTGGTGTAATGTTATTTCAGTTCTTCAAATTTTTATCAATTGAGTATTCATAGACAAAGCCAAAAGCTATTTTTCATTCTTTGTCTTACTTGAATCTTCTCTTTTATTTAAAAATATATGAGCATGATAGTGAAAGAAGTTGATGAACTCAGAGAGACAGCTCCCATGCAGTTATTAATTCCCAAATAAGCATACCAAGCATAAGTGGGCAGGATTGAAGCCCAGAGTCAGGAATGAAGTCTAGGTTTCTCTTATTGGTGGCATCAGCATCACTTCTCCAGGTCTGCCTTAGCTGGAGCTGGCACTGGAAATCCAACCTAGGCAATCTGTGGTAGAAGTAGGGTATCTTAGCTGGCATCATAAACACTGAGCTAAAACCCTGCCATCTCATTTAAAATATTTTTTCTTTGCCATATTTCAAGTGATTGTGCCTGTTTTCCTGGAAATTCTTCTCTGTTCATTCCCATCATTGCTTCACTGATGGTTTCTTGTGTTCTTCCCTGAGTACTTCTACAATCTTGTCCTTAACATTGCTCATTCAAGAGTCAATATTGTCCTTCTTTAAGCCCCCTCAACAGATGTGGCCCCTTGTGACCTGAAACTTCTATTTCTCTCTAGCTTGGGCATTTTTCATATCCTTTAGACCATAGATTTTACTTCTTGTTGAATGCTTCTGTGGCTTTCCAAATGTTCAACAGATCTAACATGAAATCACATCCTTCCTTCTTCCTTCACACTCACATAGAAGATACAAAACGGGCAGTGTTTGTTTTGTGACAGAGTTGATACGTTGACCAGAAGTGTTCTATTACAGATGATGATAGCATTTGAAGACCTTGCTGTGTACTTTACCTGGGAGGAATGGCAGAACATGAACCAAGCTCAGAAAACCCTGTACAGGGATGTGATGCTGGAGACCTACAGCAGCCTGTTCTCCTTGGGTGAGTGACACCCATCATATGCTCAGTGGTAATATTTTCTTGGTGCTTGACAAATAAATGAACACTTTATAGTTTATTGATTGGCAGGTATAGAATTTGAGCCCATGAATAAGCTGATTGTCTGCCATCTTGGAAAGGATTCAAATTGGTACATTTGTTGCATAGCACGTGGATGAGGCTGTAGTCCTTTAAATAACCCAAGATAGTGATTTCATAAAGTCTTACATTGTTTCCATTAATAGGGCACTGCATGACCAAACCTGACTTGATCTTCAAGTTGGAGCAAGGAGCAGAGCCATGGATGGTGGAAGAATTCCTGAATCAGAGTTTTCCAGGTCAGTCTGCACATAATGGGCAGGGAGGCCAAGGCAGAAAAAGAGCAGTAGATGCTGTGGTGTTCTTTCCATGGATTTTTTCCAAATTTTACTCCTGATGACAACTGGTTTTGTGCATTAGATGCAAGCATTCTAGATATCTAGGGATACCAGGATCTATCTAACTCTTTTGTTCTTGTTGAAGGTATTCTTTGATTTAAAAAAAAATTCCAATCCTTTTATCACGTTACTAAGGTGTTTTTCTAAGTTAGATACATTCCTCAAATTATCTTTTCCTTCTCTACACTTTCATACCTTTTCCTTCATGCACCTATTAGTTCATTCAGTGCTAGTTAGTTGAACAATTTATAGAAACTTGTTTCTTACTCATCGTTTAATTTGTGTTCCCACTCATGGTTTTGGCCAGCCCCACCCTGCATTGCCAGCATCCCATATGGGCACTGGTTCAAGTACCAACTGCTCCTCTTTCCATCCAGCTCTCTGCTAATGTGCCTGGGAAATCAGTGGAGGATGGTCCAAGTCATCGAGACTGCACCCGCATGGGAGACCTAGAAGAAACTCTTGGCTCCTGGCTTCTGCCTGACCCAGCCTTGGTTATTGTGGCTATTTGGGGTGCAAACCAGCAGATGAAAGACTTCTCTCTCTTTCTCTGTCTACTTCTTTCTGTAACTCTACCTTTCAAATAAATAATTGTTTAAAAAATCATGAAACTAAGCATGAACTTATAAGAACATGAAAATAAGTGATCCTAGAACCACCAAGAAAGTCTGGGATTCTGAGTCCCAAGATCAAGTAACATTGTGGTTTTTTGTAGAAGTGCTTAGATTTCTTTGAATTTGAAGTATGAATTATTTTAGTGTTGTTGAAATAACAACAAAAACAAAAAGATAAGAAATGCATAGGAAATGAAGTTTTCTGTGAAAATAAGGGAAAACTGATCAAAAGCCTTCAGAAACTCAAATTATCACAAAAAAATGTTTATAGAATGAATTGAGAGGAGATAACCAGCACTGATGATATAAGGATGACATAGAAAACACTTTTCAAAGAAGCTGAACATACCCTGTGTTGCAAAAACAAATGCTTTAAACTGATTGGGAGTGTATACCCAAGATGGTATGTTGGGATGTTTTTGTATCTGTTGTAGTTCTGAGACACTGAAGATGTTAGATTTCCCTGTGAATATTGGGAAGCTGTCATAGAGTGCAGATAAAAGCAGAATTTTTTATTTGAATATCCTACCAATGCTGTTTCCCTGGGAAGACTGAACATAAGACAACCATAGATTAAACAGGATCACATTAAGGAAAAAGATTTTAGAGTACAGACACATATCATTCTTTATCTGCAAATAAATGATCCAGTAAAACTCCAATATTTATGGTTGAAATATCAGAGATGCACAAAACATACAATTTTTAATGAAAATTAAATGAAAAAAAGGGACAGGGAAAAAACTGGTTGTTAGGCAATGAGTGAATGCCTTCTCTGGTGTATCTCAGGATCCAAAACACATGAACCATCATTTGCTGCCTCCCAGGTGACATAAGCAGACACCTATATTGGAAGCAGAGTAGCCAGGGCTCAAACTGGCGTTGTTTTGAGATGCAGGCATCCTAAACAGTGATTTAACACATCTTACCACAAAAGCCATTCTACGTACTTGAAAAAAATTCAAGTAATAAACAGGATCATGATTGAACATTGGAGAATCTGTTGGTACAATTTAATTATGAGAAAAATCATATAATGCTTATAAATAAGTACTGATTTTGTTAAAATCTTATGCCACTAGGTAAGAAGTAACTTCATTCCCATCACATGAATATGCCAAGAGAAACATTTATATGTGATTCAATGAAATGGTTATTTTTTTAAAAAGATTGTATTTATTTGAGTGTTAGAGTTACAGACAGTGAGAGGGAGAGACAGGGAGAAAGGTCTTCCATCTGCTGGTTCATTCCCACAATGTATGGTGCAGTGCCCTGAGCCAAGCTGATCTAAAGCCAGGAGCCAGGAGTTCTTCCAGGTCTCCCACATGGCTGCAGGGTCCCAAGTGCTTGGGGCATCTTCTCCTGCTTTTGAAGGCCATAGCAGAGAGCTGGATTGGAAGAGGCACATCTGGGACTAGAACCGGTGCCCATATGGGATGCCTGTGCCACAGGCAGAGGATTAACCTACACAACAGTGCCAGCACCAACATAGTGTTTTTTGTTTGTTTGTTTGTTTGTTTTTCTCATTACAGTTGCCATGAAAAGGGATGACCTGATTGGGACCAACCAGGAAAGTCGGGACAAAAATCTGAATCAGGATGTTATGAAAAATAAGAAGACATTTGCTCCCAAGGGAGTTGAATTAAGAAAACAACCTAATTTAACTTCTAGCCCTATTCCAAGACTGATTATGCAAAAGGGAAACTATTCAGGAATGAATGTGTATAATGAATGTGGAGAAACCACTTATCAGAATTCAAATCTCATTAGACATCAGAAAATTCACACTTGGAAGATGCCTCATGAATGTAATGAGTATGGAAAAGCCTTTTTCCAGCAATCATACCCTATAACACATCAGAAAATTCACATAAGGGAGAAAATTGCTGAAAATAATGACTGTGGAGATGTTTTTCACCATAATGTAGACCTCATTAAACATCAGAGAATTCACCTGGAGGAGAAATCTTATGAATGCAATGATTGTCAAAAAACCTTTTACCATAAATCACAACTCATTAGACATCAGAGAATTCACACAGAGGAGAAAGCTCATGAATGTAATGTCTGTGGAAGAGCCTTTTGGTATAAATCACATCTCATAATACATCAGAGAATTCACACAGGAGAGAAACCTTATGAATGTGGTGACTGTGGAAAAGCCTTTGGACATAAGTCAGGTCTCAATAAACATCAGAGAATTCACACTGGGGAGAAATCTCATGAATGTAATGACTGTGGAAAAGCCTTTTACTGTAAATCACGACTCATTAGACATCAGAGAATTCACACAGGAGAGAAACCTTATGAATGTAGTGACTGTGGAAAAGCCTTTGGCCATAAGTCAGTCCTCATTAAACATCAGAAAATTCACACAGGGGAAAAACCTTATGTATGTAATGACTGTGGGAAAGCCTTTTTTTGCAAATCATATCTCAGCCAACATCAGAGAATTCACACAGGGGAGAAACCTTATGAATGTGATGAATGTGGAAAAGCTTTTGGCCATAAATCAGACCTTACCAAACATCAGAGAATTCACATGGGGGAGAAGCCTTATGAATGCAATGACTGTGGAAAAGCCTTTTATTATACAGCACAACTCATTAGACATCAGAGAATTCACACTGAGGAGAAACCTCATGAATGTAATGTCTGTGGAAAAGCCTTTTGGTATAAATCACATCTCATAAAACATCAGAGAATGCACACAGGGGAGAAACCTTATGAATGTGGTGTCTGTGGAAAAGCCTTTGGCCATAAGTCAGGCCTCATTCAACATCAGAGAATTCACGCAGGGGAGAAATCTCATGAATGTAATGACTGCGGAAAAGCCTTTTTGTGCAAATCAGACCTCAACAAACACCAGAGAATTCACACAGGGGAGAAACCTCATGAATGTAATGACTGTAGAAAAGCCTTTTTTTCCAAATCAGACCTCAAGAAGCACCAGAGAATTCATACAGGGGAGAAACCTTACGAATGTGCTGAGTGTGGAAAAGCCTTTGGCCATAAGTCAGTCCTCATTCAACATCAGAGAATTCACACTGGGGAGAAACCCTATGAATGTAATGAATGTGGGAAAGCCTTTTATAGCAAATCAGACCTCAACAAACATCAGAGAATTCACACAGGGGACAAACCTTATGAATGTAATGAATGTGGAAAAGCTTTTGGCCATAAATCAGAGTTCACCAAACATCAGAGAATTCACATGGGGGAGAAACTTTATGAATGCAGTGACTGTGGAAAAATCTTTTTTTATAAATCAAAACTCATTAGACATCAGAGAATGCACACAGGGGAGAAACCTTATGAATGTAGTGACTGCGGAAAATCCTTTGGCCATAAGTCAGTCCTCATTAAACATCAGACTTCACACAGAGGAGAAATCTTATGAATGCTATGGAAAAGATGTTTTGTGCAAATCAGATCTCAGAAAACAGAATTCACACAAAATAGAAACATTATGAATGTAGCGACTGGAAAAACCTTGCACCACAAGTCACAACTCAGAATGGATCAGAGAATTCACAGAGGGGAGAAACATCATAAAAGCCCTTTTGGGCAAATCAGACCTCAGCAAACATCAGTTTACACAGGGAGAAACCTTATGAATGTAATGACTGTGGCCTTTGCCCATAATTCACAACTCAGAATGCATCAAAGAATTCACACTGGGGAGAAACCTTATGAATGTAATAACTATAGGAAAGCCTTTGGCCTTAAGTCAGACCTCATCAAACATCACACAATTCACACAGCAGTGAAACCTTATGAATGTAATGACTGTTGAAACACCTTTTGCTATAAATCACACCTCATAAGACACCAGAGAATTCACACAGGAGATAGACTTCATGAATATAACAACTGTGGCAAAGCCTGTGGCAATGATACACAACATACATCAGAGAATTCATACAGGGGAGAAACCTCATTTATGTAAAGACTGGAAAAGCCTCTTTGTGCAAATTAAATCTCAGCAAACATCAAAATTCACACAGGGGAGAATGTTTTGAATTGAACAAATGTGGACAACTCTTGGTGCAAATCATTATCAAACATAAGAATAAACATTATAAATGTAATGATTTGGAACACCTTCAGCCATAATTTAACCCTCATTTGAGATAATCAAATTCATATTTGAAAAAAACCCTTTGAATGTAATGCATGTGGAAAAGCCTTTATCCAGAAATCAGAGCTTATAAGAAATCAAAGAATTCATATGGCAGAGAAACCTTATGAATGTAATGAGTATTGGAAAGCTCCTTGTAACATCAGAAAATTCACAAGGCAGAAGTGTTATGAATGTAATGAATGTTGGAAAGCCTTTTGTCAAAAACAGTGCCTCAACACATTATGGGAGTCAAACAAGGAAGAGAGTTTAAGAATATAATGAATGTGAAGTGCTTTTTCCCAAAATCAGTGTACTTAGTGTGACAAAGCCGTTCCCTTGAAATCATACCCCAAACAACAGGGACCCATGGAAGGGAGAAAGGTTATAAATATTATAATGTGAAAAAAAGCCATTTGTCAGAAATCAGTCATCAAAGAATTCACATAATGCGTTTCTTAAGATTGTAATGAATGTGGAAAAGTATTTTCCTGTAATTAAGGCCTGCATAGATACAGAATTCACAATAGCTTATATCCTTCAAATGCAGTAAATTTGAGAAAACCTTTAGTCAGCAATTAGACATCAGCAGATGCCAGGGAATTCATAAAGAAAATAAATCAATTTAATGAACATGAAATTCCTCTTCCATAAATCAGTCATCAGCTCACATGAAGAGACTCAGAACTTAGAAAACATGTATTCATCGAAAAGTTTTTGTATCATAAGTCATCTCAGTGGGTAACTGAAAGCTCACACTTAGGAAAAATCCTGTCATTGTAATGTGGTTGGAAAAACCTTTATTGTAAGGTGAACTTTTGCAAAATTTAACAAGATTAGAGAAGTCCCTTAAATATAATGTGTCTGGAAGAACTCTTGGTGGAATCACACCTCAGGAAGTATTAGACAATTCACATGATGAATTGTGACAGAGTCTTGTTAACCGTTCTTCCTTTACACAACCTATGTTTTTGGTTTCCCATTATTGTGAGTGGGACCAAGTATATGAACTGTACTTACATATATAAATTTTGCAAAGAAATATCCAAAAATTACAACAGTTAGTACAGCAGTTATTTGGTATCCCATCTTCATCAATTACAAAGTTATTTGTTGTATAGCAATTTTGTCCACCCAGTGTTCTTTCTCCACATTATTGTGCATACTGGTGATGTAACCACAGGCATGTCAATTAGCATATATTCCAGCCATAATACTGTACTCCAGCAGTGGATGGTGGGTGTTGTGTCTAGCTAAAGGGAATGAGCTTATGGTGATCTATATACTCATGAGGATTTCCAGCTCATCTGTGTTAAGAGTACACTATCTGGATTAGAGTACACTATGTGAGATCAATTTGAATATTCAAATAGGTGTTGTCCAGCACATTATTCTCGTTCCATAGACTACCTCAAATCCTATGAGTTGGGGCCAGCACCGTGGCTCACTTGGTTAATCCTCTGCCTGCGGCCACAGAATCCCAGATGGGCCCCGGCTTCTGGTCCTAGTTGCTCCTCTTCCAGTCCAGCTCTCTGTTGTGGCCTGGGAAGGCAGTGGAGGATGGCCCAAGTCCTTGGGCCCCTGCCCCTGCATAGGAGACCAGCAGGAAGCACCTGGCTCCTGGCTTCAGATCAGCATAGTTCTGGTTATAGTGGCCCTTTGGGGGGTGAACCAATGGAAAGAAGATCTTTCTGTCTCTCTTTCACTGTAACTCTGTAAAAAAAAAAAAAAAAATTTAAAAAATCCCATGAGTTGTAACACTCATCTCCTGAATTTTTCTTTATTAATGAGCATACAATCCCTTTTAAAATCTTTCATTCATTATCCCCTTTTCCTACTTTTCTTCCTTCACTTCCTTCTTGCCCAGAGACAAGAACTTGGAATGAAATCTGGGTGGTACCCATTGCAACAGAAGTGGTGACTCAAATGTAGTACACTTTTGTGTTAATGTAACTTTACAATGATTTATTTTGTTATAATCTTTTTGGTTGTATTACTCCTTACTTCTACCAGACTCTCAGTTTGTTGAAAATGTATGTTTTCATCCCTTCCCAGTTTTCACAGACCTTTTTGGATTTTCATCATCTCATTTACATTTACATTCATCTCAGACCTCAGGATATACTCAGGATGAACAGTTTATCCAGGTTCCATAGCGACTGGACTAGAAATGCTGTGATGATCATCTAGCTGCAATAGTTCTTTTATTTCCCATCCAGAGGACAATCCTGCAAGTCATTCCTTCCACCTCCATTACTACCTGTTGGCAATAGCACATTGTCTTTGTTCAAGTCCCCTTGGCTTGTTACAAGTGTTCATCAAATCAAATCTCAATCAGAAATTTAATAGAAAATGCATGGTGTATCTGTTGACAATTTCATGGAGTTGAGCAATTATTACCTTATCATTATTGGAATGTGGTGTGCCTTTAAGAGCCATTTTTTAAGTCTAGATGGAGTGTTCTTTCTGCTTTTCCAATGTTTGTAATTACTAAATAAATTCCTTTCTTCTAAAACTCATTGGCATATATTTTATTTAAAAATAATCCTGAGTGACAGGGCAGTTATTTTTAGAAATCCCCTAATTCCTCTGAATTTTAGTTTTGGTGTTTGATTCCTACATGAATTATGGGTTCTGTTGAGTGAGGCACTGATTACATTGCTAACTGATGATGGCATAATCTCTTGCAACAGGTACATTTACCAGATTGGAATCTTGTTTTCCTTTATGAATTTCTGCTGAGTCAGTGGCTAATGTGAGCCAGCTGGCCTCCATATCACTTTGAATTCTATAGAGCCAATAAATTTCTGTTGGCTAATTTGAGATTTGGAATCTGAAGTCATTGTGTATCACTGGATATTGTGTCTGATCTTTTTATTAACCCTGTTAACTTCCCTGTTAACTTGAGTGAGCTTTAAGAGAGGCTGGCATACTCAATCCAGATGAATGAAAGAGCTTGGTAGGTTTGTTATAGCAAAAAGTACCTGGCAATTAAGAACAGGTCATACATATAGCTACTCAGTAGGAACACAGGTGGATGCAAGACTGAGGGGATAGAACACTGTGGACAAGCATTATATTATGGATTCAGGTTTAAAGTTAGTTGATTTGCAGAAAGGTCTTTGATACAGTGCTTATTCATGCACTTGAGATGTCCACACCCCAGTCTGAAAACCTATATTTGATATCATCTCTGATTCTAGCTTTCTGATAATGCACATATTGGGAGGTAGCAAATGATAGTTTAAATATCTGGATCTTGCCATTCAAATGGGAAAAGCAGATTGGGTTTTTGCCTTCTGGTCTTAAGCTATCCTGGTCCAGCTGTTGTGAGCCTTTAAGAATTAGACCAGTAAATAGCAGTTCTTTTTCTGCTTCTGAGGGTCTCTGCCTTCAAAATTAGAAACGCTAGATTGTAATCTATTCTTATTCCACTTAGGGTAAAGGATCTGTCCATGGTTTCTTTTGTGTCTGCCTTATAGGCAGGTATACAGTGGCTCAGCAGTGAGGACCCAAGAGAGAAGACACTTTGGTTGGGTTCAACCCTGGATTTTCATAAATGGCAATGAATGACAATAAATCCATAGACTAGATATTGAATAATCATTTAAAAATGTGTACTACAATTTAACCCTTTATATCTTCCCATGAGTTTTAGACTAGAACATTTAGGATATTTGAGTGGCCTCAATACCAGTGTAGGCTTATGCCCTACTCTAATCTCTATGTGCATAAAATAATTTATGATTATAATAAAAAAGAGATAAATAAGTTTCTGTTTTTAAAAAAATTTTGAAGTATATAAACTTCATGTACTTCATATGTACAGATTCAGGAATGTAGTGATATTTTCTAACTTGCCCTCCCTCCAGCCCATCCCCACACTTTTCTTCCTCCTGACATATACCCGTACTTATTTTTAAAAAGATCATTTTCAGTTTATAAGATTAACCCTACACTAAATAAAGGGTTCAACAAATAGTGTGAAGAATAAAAAAAAATTGTCCAACCATCAAGGAGCTCCTAAAAATGATCACATCCCAAAGTGTAAATTTCACTCTTCTAGATTACCTAATTGACCACTGAGTCGCAATTTAAATGGGGATACAGATCACTCTCAAATGCTGATGTCATTTCCCTTGGTTAAATTCCCAGGAGCAGGATGGCTGGGTTATATGGCAGGTCTAAATTCAGATTTCTGAGGTATCTCCAAACTGTATTCTACAGTGGTTATATGAGTTTACATTCCCACCAAAGGTGGATTAGTGTACATTTTTCTCCATATCCCTGCCAGCATTAGTTGTTGATTTCTGTATGAAAGCCATTCTAATGGGGGTGTGATGAAACCTCATTGTGGTTTTGACTCGTATTTCCCTGATGGCTAGTGATTCTGAGCATTTTCCCATGTGTCTATTGGTTACTTAAATTTCCTCTTTTGAAAAATGCCTTTTTGGGGCCAGTGCTGTCGCATAGTAGGTTAATCCTCCACCTGCAGTACCTCTATCCATATGGGTGTCGGTTTGAGTCCCAGTTGCTCCTCTTCTGATCTAGCTCTCTGCTATTGCCTGGGAAAGCAGTAGAAGATGGCCCAAGTGCTTGGACCCCTGCACCCTCATGGGAGACCTGGAGGAAGTTCCTGGCTCCTGGCTTTGGATTGGTTCAGCTCTGGCCATTGCAGCCATTTGGGGAGTGAACCAGTGAATGGAAGACCTCTCTCTCTGTCACTCCATATCACTGTCTGGTAACATTACCTCTCAAGTAAATAAATAGTCTTTTAAAAATTGCCTATTTAAGTCTTTTGCCCAAAATTTGATGGTATCAGGTCATAGATTTGTCAATGAACTGAAGACTGGATGAAGAAATTATGGTATATACACACCATGGAAAATTACATAGCAGTAAAAAAAAAAAAAGTGAAGTCCTGCCATTTGCAACAAAATGGATGAAACTAGAAAACACATTTAGTGAAATAAGCCAGGCCCCAAGTGACACATATCATATGTTCTCCCTGATTTGTGATAACTGATAGAACATCTAAAAGATAATCTATAGAAGTGAAATTGACATTTTGAGATACAATGACATTGAACTGCCCTAGTCTCGACTGCTGAGGAAGAGGTTTTTTTATTATTATTATTACTAAGTTTCTGTCTTAGTAATTAGTCTGTTTAGATTTTCTATGTCTTCATGGCTCAATTTAGGTAGGTTATATGTGTCCAGGAATCTATCCATTTCTTCTAGGTTCCCCAGTTTTTTGGCATACAGCTCTTTGTAGTAATTTGTGAGGATTCTTTTTATTTATGTGATGTCTGTTGTTACATTTCATTTTTCATCTCTAATTTTACTGATTCACTTCCTTCTCTCTCCTTTTGGGGGGGGGTTAGTTGGGGCATTTTTTTTTCACTGTGGTCGCTTTTATCTTTGGGTTAAGTCTTTGTGGACTAGTGGAGGGCCTGATTTCAGGGAATGCCTCAAGGCATATGGAACTGTTTTCTTTTTTTATACTATTTGTTGAACTTTTTACTTAATATAGAGTTAATCATATGTATATTAAGTTAATTGAAAATAGATTTTAGTCAAAATAAGAATGGTAATAGGAAAGCGAGGAAGAATAATGGTGGGAGTGTGGGTAAGAGGATGGTTATGAGGGGAAGCATTACTAAGTTGTATTTATGAAATGCCTGAAGTTTGTATTCCTTAAGTAAGTTGCAAAAGAATTCTGTAGCACTTACTGTGGGTTCAGTCAGGGCTGCAGTCAAGTGGCCTTGATGATAGAGTGTGATGCTATTGTTGTCTTAGTTGTAGTATTCAGTGGTAGAACAAAACATCTAGAATGGCACTGGAGGGTCATGATTATCCTTTAGGGCTGTGGCAGATGGCTGAAGGGCTGGATCCTTAGTACTAATACACAGAACTGACTTTGTTCTTCTTGAATTCGTTCTCTTACCTTGTGTTGTACCTTCCCTTTTTTCTTTCTTTTCTTTCTTGGTTGCTTCCCCTGCCATCTGCCATCTGCCATCTGCCACAGCCCTAAAGGATAATCATGACCCTCCAGTGCCATTCTAGGTGTTTTGTTCCATAAATGTTAATATTTCTTGATATTTCTTTCATCTCTTTCTTTGCTGTGTTTTCATTTCACACATTTGCACTTCCCAGGGCAATCCCTGCTTTTCCAGAGATTTGACCATCCTCTATATGCTAATGTCTGCTCACTTTTATTGGAGAAGTGGAAACTGATACGGCAGCAGAGCTCTCCACAAAGAAAAGATACCTACTCTTTGTGTCCCCTGAACTCCACACCTGAACATCCAGCTACTATTCTATACCTCTACCTAGATATCTACAGACTCAGACATTGTCTGTCTGCCTACTGCCTGTCCCCAACATCCTATCAAGTAATGACTGGTCCCATCCACTCAGTTGCTCTGTCAGAAACCTGAGAGTCATCCTTTTCCTAGCCATAGCTAATCAGTTGTCCAATACTAGTGACTCTGCCTCCCAGAGGTTTCTCTAACTCATTCCCCTCTGCCCATACATTTTGTCATGTTTTTGAATGAATACAAAAATTTATATCTGTCCCTTTGACTTCAGTCTTGCTACCTCTAGTGCCTCCCTTTAGTTGTTGATTATGTCACACACTTCAAGGCTTGCCCTTGTCCTCAAGGTATAACCCTCCTTGTCTATTGGGACTCTCAATCTTATTGCTTGCCAGCCTACTTTAACTTCTCAATACTCTCTAAATTTCCTGCTGTCCCAGCCATATGCTTCAGCTGGCCAATTTCTAACAGATCATCTTAACATCTTTCTCCAGGTCCCTTCCTTTGTTTTCCTAGAGCATATGTGCTTTGTCATATGTGAAATTGTATTTTAGTTGCCTATAGTCTCTCTCTCTCTCTCACTAAATTGCAAGCACCATTTTACCTATGGGGCAAGGCTCTAAATGCAATAGTTCCTCAATGGATATATGTGGAATAAATGACCACTAAGCAGTGGAGTGCTTCTATCACATCCTTGCTTAGAAAGAATGGCAGAGGATTCACACGAGCATTGGTAAGGAGCATAGTTATTCAATTTACAGGCCAAAAGGACACAACAAGAAATCATAGATCTTGCTCTGCCAGTCTCAATATGAAGAATTTGAAGACTCAGGCACCACTGACATGAAGCCTCTGATTCTCACTGTCAGCATTGTGCTTTGGGCCTTCCATGGTGGGGGCTGGGAGACATGGCCTGGGAAGGAGATGCTTCATCCTCGAAGCAGCATAATGTGCTACCTCTAAGAGTCTTTGCCTCTAGGACTAAAATCTAGGACTCCTTTGTAAGAGTTAACATCAGAGAGTAAAGATGGTTAATGTTCATTGAGTACTCATTACATATCATGAACCCTGCTGTGCCATTTACACTCATTATGATACTTAACCTTCACCACAATAATATGGAATAAGTCCTTTTATAACCCTTTTTAACAAATGAGAAAACTGGCAGGGAGGGATCTGAACCCAAGCCTTCTGATTCTAGAAGCCACACACTTAAACTGTGGTGTTGTCTGATCATCTGCTTGTTTGACCCATGGACATGTGATCTTGTGGGAATGTCCTTGCTGCATTCCATTATCCTCAAGATGTCCTTTGACACCCTTGACTATTGGGTCATGTTCTGATATTTGTGGAAGTCTGGACTCTTATTTCAATATGGGGACATGGTTGGTCTGGGGACACTGTGGGGGAATGATTTGGGTCTACCTCAGTGCCTCTCCTTGCTGGTTTATAAACTAATGGATGTTAGGTCATTTTTTTTTAAAGGAAACCACAGAGAACGTTACT